ACAAATACTTTATAAAACAATAAAATAGGCAATACAATAGAATAAAGTATTATAAGGTATAAAAGTACCACCAAAGGAATAAATTAAAAAGGAAATTGTATTTGCAAGTAAGATATACAATTGCCTGTATGTGTGTGCGCGCGTGTGTGTATGTGTATATATACACACAAAAATATGTATAACATGTTTTAAGTTATAGTGCCAAAACCTGAGGTATAATGGGAATGAGGGTAGTGGAAAGGTATCGTAATGTCCATGAAAAGACTTACAACTTACCAGAATAGTTATCCGTAAATTTCACAGATGCTGTGCAATGTATATAACAGTGTGGAATCTGGATCATATCTGAGGTTTATGAGAAGAATCGTTTATTTACAGTAGAGTTGAGGAGACTCTCAGCCTGAAGAAAGAAGCTTCTCTGTGGTTCAGCAGCTGATACTAATGTATTTCTTCCCAGATAGCAGCAGGGTTAACAGGCTGTGGCTGGGGTGGCTATTGTCTTTTAGTATCCTTTGGGCTCTGCACGGGCACCTCACCTCACCTCACCTCACCTCACCAATATCACTGATGCTGGTTAGATAGCAAGTTAAATCACCTGCTGCTGAGCACTGGACCATGCACATCCCATGGCAGTTTGTGTCCTCTCTGTCGCCAACAAAGGAAGTAAAAGCTATTATTAATAATTTCATCACATAAAATTGGAATAGAGCTTTCATGTGCAACAAATTCAAAATTCAAAAGATCAAAATCACAGTTGCGAGGGACCCTAATGGTCACTGTTGTAACTGTGTTAGCTTGTTGCAGAATAAGTGTACATTACACTTAAGTTACATCCTGGATATAATGAGTCACAATGTTGAATTAAATTAATATTGGATTCAAACCTGTGACTCAAAAACCCCTTGTTATTTATAACAGACAATTCTACATGGTATACAACCACACCATTAGGTCCCACCTTCTCAGAACAGGATCAGACAGCTCTGCAGCTAGATCAAGACTAAGAAAGTAAGTAATGTGCATTTACTGTTAATCCGAGAGATTTGATAAATACTGGCCCTGATGCATCAGGTAAATGCCTTAGCCTGAGTCTGAAATCACTCTCTAATTACCATCGTGTGCACTACATTTACCTTCCACCATTTTATTTGAGAGTTCACAGCCTTGGTTCCTCTGGTTTTGGAATCATGGATGCCATCATAAGCAGGAGCACCTCTGCCTGTGGCTCTGTTGATAGAAACAAAAAAAAAAAATCGCAGAAAAAAGGATTGCATTGCAACATCAGATAAAATGCTTTGTGTCTTGTTTCCCTTCAAAAGGCACAACAAACCATCATGTTGAAACCTGGTCTGAAACTTTTGAGACATCTGCATGCTGTTTTGTTAAAACTAGTTATAAGAATGACCAAAATATACTGTATTTTTGCAGAAAAGGTAACTTGTTTAAGTCACTGAAGGACTGTAGTTTTCTTCCATTTTTAAAAGTAGTTTTTAGAGGCACTGTATTTGCCAAAAGCCAATTTCAATCTGATCATAAACTTTTTATATTAGCACTTGTCTAAAGTCTAAGCCATGATTCCCTTTCCTTCTGTTTGAAACGGCATATAAATATGGTGTAAAAGTGCCTTTCGTCTCACTGTAATTAACGGCGGCGTCGGCTCTCTTGCTTCACAGGTGATGGTTTGGATAAGAATGCAGCTCCTTGTCCTCCCCCTTCTCCTTCACATCCGCGGTTCTTCCTGCCCCTTTAACTTTTTCCTTAACATTGTTTTCTCCCTGTCACCCTCTTATCTCCCATTCCACATTGTGCAGCTAAGTCCAGGCACGTCTAAAAGAGAGACAGAGGGGGGCTTAAAGGAGGAATTCAGTCCAACTTGACACCTGAGGTGTATGGTACCACTACCCACTGTAGGGAAAATGCATTAAACAGAATTGCACAAGATTTCAACATACATCTGCAATTTGAAGGGCAGAAGAGGAAACGGTGCATCATTTGAATAGAAAGGAAAAAAATATGTTGAGGACTGGACGGGGGAGAAAGGGGGGATTACAGTGAGTTGCTGGAACTCCCTTGCTAAGATTTAGCTTCCGGGAAAATGAGTAAATCTTTAATTTAAGGCTGATTTTATGTTATGTTTATGTTTACCTACATAGATATAAAGGATACACTCCATATTTCACTGTCGTCAGGTTGTCAGACATGTACTGGGAATAATCTGCCTATTTATTAGGATGCTTCGGTGGCTGTTGGAGCTGGTTGTGCATTATGACATATTGTCTACTTATGATGACTCAGCAGATTTAAATTTGCTGATGATACTTCAGTGGTTGGGTTATTAACAACATTAGATGAATCAGCATATATGAGGGAGGTGTCTGATCTTGTAAGCCGATGCAGTGATGATAGCCTTCAGCTTAAAATTGGAAAAGCTAAATAGACTTCAGGAGAGGGGAATGTGGAAAACTACCTCTTGACATTTAAATTTCCTTGGCACTGTAATGTCTGATAACCTTAAATGAGAAAACAAAGTTTACAAAATCTTAAAGGTGGTTCATTAGAAATTATATTTTTGGTGAAAGTCTTTTATATGTTGATTTTGAGGACGGTTAAGCTAGCTAATGTTAGCAAAAGTTAGTTGATTGTTTCCTCGTCTTTCCTGCATTATGAGCTCATCAAGGTTCCTAACAGTGTTTGTTGGAATGGCAATGAAGTCAGCTTAACTAAACTGCTTATTCCTAATACTTAGAGATCTTAGGTGATGTCAGGAACCCTGACTTTCTCCTTTAGCAGTCATTTCTTAACCTAAATGCTCATTTTTTTCCAGAGGTGCCACAGCCAGAGCTGATGCTGACCACCACACGGGGCCGGGCAACGGTGGCAGGACTGGACTCCAGTCAGGAATATGCCCTCCAAGTCCTCGTGCTCAATGGGACGACAGAGAAACTTCTTGCAAAGCGACGATTCACCAGTAAGAAACACAACAGTCCGATGTGAGAAATTAGAACAGTTACTGAGAAAAGAGACGAAAATAGAGGACGGAGGGAGGTCAATGAGCACATTGGGAACTAATGGCCTTCGAGAGCCTATTAAGATCAAAGTGTACCAAAAGATAAGTACCAAAGCTGAATTCAAATTAGAAAGAAATAGATATAGTGTGAACGATAAAGAGGTATGAGGTAGTTTTTTCATTGGTATGTAAGTTTATAAGCAAGAGTGAGCATGACTGCATATCTTCATGGGCCATCTTATATCGTGATTTTGAAAAGTCTGTGATCCATAAATTTTCATTCTGATGGAACTGGAATTCACAGAACAAGCTAGTGGGTTTTGGGTTGAACGAGGGACATAAAACTCCACAGGCATGATGTGATGTACAACACTGACTCGAGATAAAAGGAAATACTATCGTTCCTGATGTTGGCTCAGTTGGTACTGTGAGATAACATTGTAAAGACAGCAAAGTCATACTATACTATACACTGGAGTGTGCTGTGCCCCCCCGCCCCCAAAAATCCAACCGACAAGATGTACAAGCACTCACACAGAATGAGCGAGTGTAAATACTGCTCTTGCCAGATTAGAGCCTGAAAGTGGGTTGTGTTTGAACTTACTGTGTATTCTTACACAGTAAGGGGCAGTGAATGTGCCCACCACACTCTCTATGGCTCACAAAAGCAACCTTACTAGCAAAATAACACAATCAGGAATGGCTTTCTACCCCACACTGTGCAGAGTTTACAGTTGAATAAACGGCAGGATGGAGGCATTTTGGTGAAGCGTCGCCTGTGTTTAGATGAGGAATTGGCAACTAATTTTGCACACTTATTGTCCCTCAGGTTATTTCAGACATCTCTGTCTCTGGCTTCAACACCGTTATTTCCTGCAGCAGTGACGGTGAAGGTCATCACAGCTCTCTGTCAGTTAAATCCCCCTTTCATTTTTGACATTTTATTATTAGACTGATTGATACTCTGTTGGGGCTCATGTAGCCTGTGGTTGCTTACGAACAGTTCTAGTGATAATAGGTTACAGTGTCGAGTCGGGCATGTCCAGGCGGCTCTGAAAAACATGTCAACTTGGAAATCCGTAACACTGGCTGTCATGCTGGAATGATGGCAGTCTGGGAATTCCTTCCTGATGCGTCTTCACCTTTCCCATCTGCTTTAACCCCCTCTGGGCCCAGTACTTATTTCTAGCCGTGCTAGTGATAGCAGGTTACTGTGTCGAGGCAGTTTTTACTTCCTTGGAAATTTCACCCTCAATTTGCTGTTGTTGACCTTGTCTCCTAACTCCAGGCAAGGATTTGCAGACAGGACCTGGTGAAGCAGTTAAGCCAGAGAAGTAATATAACATAAAGAAAACATGTTCTATCTTTACCTCAAGCATGTTCAATTATAAAATACCTGTCTGATCTCAAACCTACTTACGTAGATAAGTTGTTCAGTTTATCCTGGCTGGTATGTGACCAGTGGCTGCTGTCATAATGTTTCTACCCATTGTGATGATGTTTTGTTTCTTTGTGACTAATGCATACTCACAGGAGGTTGTTTGATTACCAGTGGTAGAAGAAATACTACATATTTGAAAAAACAAGTAGCCCTACCACAGAGTACAAATACTCTGTTACATGTAAAAGTCCTGCAGTAAAGAAATAGTAAAGTATCAGCATCAAAATATAACTTCCAACTCATTATGCAGATTGTTCAAGTTTTAAAATAATGTATAATATATAATTTGATTACAATTATTGATGCATCAATGTGAAAGCATCACTTTAATGTTACAGCTATAAGGTAGGCTTTTAAATACTTTATAATCTGCAAAGTAACTAGACTTATACAATTTACATATAAGTAAAGTGAAAATAAAAATATTATTTTTCTTTTAAGTTTAATGAAGTAGAAGTAGAAAGTTAGTATTTGTACTAACTTGTAGTACTTTTGTACTACAAAACTGTACTTGAATAAATGTAATTAGTTACTTTCCCTCACTGCAGATTACATTCTAATCAGTATCAAATCTGAATTTTGTGCTTTTAGCCACTTGCTTAAGGCATCCTTGTTTCATTTAAAAAGTCTATGACACCATCCTGTGTGTTTTAAAGCCTCGTTGATTTGAATATTATTTTTCAGGTGTTTAAAGATAAATTAGCTTTACTATAAAACTGTTTTGTTGGTGAGTTTGATTCATCTTACCAGAGCATCAGTGCAAGTTGTAGCCTTTGCAATAGCAAGAAGTAAATCGAGTGTAAATGTATGCCATTTGCACTGGGATTCAAAGAGACTTCATATTTGCTTTATATTAATATATCGACAGTTCATTTCGAAACATGCATTCATATTTTGATATAGCTTCTTCAACATTTAATTCCCTGGAAGGTGTCAGGTTTCCCACTGTTTACCACTGGCAGTAATATTATGTATTATTAAAATGAATGAATATAGACTTGTACATGATTCCCTTAGCTGCACTTCCTATCTTTCAGTGGAGGGTCTGCGGGAGGAGGAAATGATCCGCAGTGGTAGCCGAGAGCAGAGGAAGAAGATGCTGCCAGGCGGGTCAGGGTCAGGAGACCTGGACGATGCAACCGAGGCTCTCCTGGGCATTCCAACAGTTCTGTATCCAGACCCCACTACCACTGCTGCTGCTACTACTACTGCAGGTACTTCATGCTTGTAAATCAAAACACTACATCCACACACACATCTTGGCACTATTATGATGACCAGGGTCCTGAAAAAAAGAGGCAATTCACAACCATAGTATATGATATATACTGATAATATCCTAGGGGCTTGAATGTGAAAGAAAATGGGATAGTGGTACACTGGCTGGTAACATTTTAAGATGAACTGGAAAACTAGAAGCTGTAGATGCTCTCATCTCTATATCAAATGTGACAGAGGATGTCAAGTTTGAAACTCAACAGCCACTCTATGTTCAGCCGTGTTCTGCTTCCTTTACCAGTCATGTGGTTCCATGAGATTTGTCCATAAGGTTCTTTTGAAGATGATACTGGGCAGCATTTCTCAGTCTGGAATGAAAAATAAACCCTGCAGTTGTTACAAAGTCATGATTTATTCTGCAAGGAGCACAAAGTGTTTTCCAGTGCAGGAGACAACACACCACACATAACAGCATAAAATCACAGTTACATGTAAATCCATCGATAAGTAAAACAAAAAACAATTATAGTTATACAAATTTGGCACATCAACAAAACAAGAATGTTATCATGCCAACAACTAAGTCTTGTGGTCAGACAAGGCAAGTGTAGCTGAGTTGCCAGTACAGCAAAAGGTTGATCACTCCTTGCCTTGACCTGGACTCTGGAATAGCTACAATTGCCTAACCTAGCAGATCTATTTGAGTTCAAAGGTCACTGATCTACTCTGGTGTCTGGCCTTGAAAAGCCTTGTATGAACCAAGCAAAATTTCAAAATGGATTTTGAAAGTATTTCATATCTAGATATAGCACCTTTTCTGTAAATTCTAAACAATAAGTACAGTGTACTGCAGTTATGCACCCCTACACCAAAGTGCTGTAAGACAAATACACAGAAATGAAAGCTTAGCAACAGTAGTTGAAAGACAGGAAGCAAAAGCTAGAACAAGATGGAAGGAGTACAAGGAGTAATGGTTGACGCTGGCTCTATCAAGGAAAGGCAAAAGCTGTAGCCTATAAATTGTAATACAATAATGTTTATGTGCTAACAGGGAAATAATATTTTCTCTCACTTTTCCCTTTGATTCTTTTGAAGTCAGATGAATCTAATGTCAACAGAAGATTTGCTGTCATGTAAAGCCTCAACTGGTCCCCTAAACAGTCTTTGCTTATCTTACTGTAACCCCACCCATGTGCTCACCATTAACTCTCTCCCCCAGAGCCCCCAGCTATTGAAACCCCCTCTCAGCTCCCTGATGAAGCCCCAGAGAAAACTGGCAAAGAAAAGAGGAAGAGGAAGAAAGAAAAAGAGCGGGATCGCTCTAAGGTGGAGAATAAAGAAGAGCAGGGGACGACACAGGGCGAAGCAGCCGAGGAGAAACCCCGGAAGGCACCCTACCCTACCCAGCCGGTGACAGGTAACGTGTGCTTCCCACTGTTAGCACAACCGGACATAAAAGTCTGACAGTGACATTTATTACTTTAATGAACCAAAAATGTACTAATTGTACTGATGAAGTGATTCCCTATATTCAGGTAGTTAAGCAGATTATCTTAAAGAATGCCTGGCCACCATCATCCTTAGTCCTTCTTATGAGTGGAGGAACAAGAGGCTTGAAAGCAGTAGGTGTTGGTTTGAGATGTGATGACAGTGTTTACACAAGGGAGGGTCAGGTATAGGAAAGGATAATGACAGACCATCCTGTTCGGCTCCAGGGCTTATGTTTCCTCTCTCATATAATCCTAGGGAACACACACATTCACATGCATGGAAATTCACTCATGTTCATGTATGCACCATGTCGACACTTGTACACACAGTAGTTAACCCCTGAATGCATAGAGCCATCTGTTTCCTGATGTAAAACTGCATTTACACATGTACTCACTAATGTACAGATAATGAAAGGGAAAAACTATATAAAATGAACTAGTAAGGTGGTTCACCATAAGCCCCCAGAACAGCTTCAGGGCTCTTTGACATATATTCAACTCTGATAAATTCCTGCTTCCTTTTTATTTAGGTATGTCTCCCAGGAAACCATTTGAGTGTGACAGCGATGCAGCAGCGGACATCATGTTGTTGGTGGACGGCTCCTGGAGCATCGGGCGCACCAACTTCAGACGGGTCAGGGACTTCTTAGAGGGCCTGATGACACCGTTCCACATTGGGCCGACCCACATTCAGATCGGTAAGTGTCTGCCATGTTGAACCACCATGACTCTACCCCAGAAGGGACAAACCAAACGCTGGCTCTAAATAGGGCCGGTAGCGTTTTTTGCTCATTTCGCGGTCACCATAGTTTCTCCTTCACGCTTGGAAGGAGTGGGTGATAGGTGGTAAATCCTACACACTGGTCCTTTAAAGCTGAGTAAACCTGAGTGTCTCTAGTTTGATATATTTAGTATATCTCTAAAATATAACTGGGATGCTCTGCTCCTCTGTTATGACCAATCCCACATCATTCTCCCAAACAGATTTCATAATAAGGGAAGTGTTCTGCAAAGTAGATATGTAATCATATACAAAGGATATTGCTACTTTAGCTGAGGGATGAAAGGAAAACAGAGATTCCATGGATGTATTGCCAAGTAGTCTAAGAAAGGAAGATGTGTTGGATGTAATAAAATTGCCGATTTGGAGGAATCTAAAGTCTTGAGTAGACTCAATTTAATTTGCACCTGTTCAAACGAGGAGAATATTCCATCAATGTGAAGAGCTTTCATAGTTTCAATACCACAACAGATGGAATTCAGTGTCAATTATAGAGGGAGGATAAAGGTGGTAGGTGACAGAGGAGCCAGAAGAGAACTACTTTGCCATCCAAACTGTTGCTTTATTTTGGACTGTTTCAGGGTTTTTTTACCGGATGAGCAACATCAATGTTTATGACAAACATATTGCTTAACTACAGCTCAATTTATTGAGAAATATTTATTTAATTTCTACTAATTGGTCCTTCTGTTGTGATTTATTGGTGAGCACAGTAATATACGTGTCTGCACATACACACAACTACCCTGGTAGTACCACTACAGGGTACAGGGTAAACCACTTAGAAATGCCGTAAGGCGCACCCTAAAAACTATGTATTACAAACATGGCAACCACTCAGGGGTCAGTTACGTAGACTAGTCTTGGCCTTAGACTGATCTTAAAGTGTCAGGTTAGACTGGTCTAATTAAGCCTGGCTGTTAAACATTAACATTAAGACTGACTTAATTTGATAAAGGATATTAGCCACCTCTCCTGCTTGCTAACCCGGAGATGGGAGCTTTGTTGCTATGGTAACAATCTGTTAGTAACCATCTTTTACCAGTCTAGCATCTGTGAGGAATACCACAGTAGCCACCTAGCTCATAGAAATGCCTTAGCAACCACCTTTTACAAACCTAAAAACAGGAACCAACTGAACCATCTAATGCTGTTATTTATAATAACTACAATGTGTAGCTTTTGTTTTTAAAGCTCTGTAGTAGCAAAAAAGAACAAGGATATTAAAATGAATGTAATGGATTTACCATCCCCAATGGCCTGTCCCTTTTGCTGTGTGTGTGTGTGTGTGTGTGTGTGTGTGTGTGTGTGTGTGTGTGTGTGTGTTTAAAGTCTTTGTCTTAACTAACACTGTGTGTATGTTCAAATATTGTATATATAATCCATTGTTTCATTGTGATAACTCTACTTATTACTTTTAGGTTGACTTAGAACATCTGTCCAGGGACAACAGATGGAAAATAGCCTTCTGGCTAACTCTGGTGCATTTACAGGAATGTTAATTAATGTCAGCACTGTCCCTGTTAAAATAAAATAATAAATAATAAACCAATAAATAAAAAAAAATACTAAAAAAAAAATAAAAAAAAAATATAACAACATCTTGCGTAATGATGTGTTTCAGGTCTGACCCAGTACAGTGGAGACCCCCGCACAGAATGGCAGCTCAACAACTTCACCACTAAAGACCAACTGTTGGAAGCAGTAAGGAATTTCAGATATAAGGGAGGAAACACATTCACAGGTAAACAGCAAACAGTTTGTACCTTTGATACTTGTAGTTTTCATGTATTGCTGTGTTTGAGCCCTAACATCTGTCTTAAGAATGTATGCACATAATACATACCATACCTACACAGTAGAGTACATGTAAAGTATGCCTGTCACCATACATGAATCTCGCAGGCCAGGCTTTGCTCCATGTCATGGAGGAGAACATGAGGGCCGAGGCAGGCGCGAGGTCAGACACACCATTTTTCCTCGTCTTGTTGACGGATGGGAAATCTCAGGACGACGCTATCGCTGCGGCAAACCGATTGAAGAATGCTGGCGTGGAGATCATTGCTGTAGGTGAGACTGAAAAGAAGAGAGGGTAAGGTGGTGTAGGGTATTTAGTTGTGGACTAAATACTTTTACTGTGAGTAATCTGGTCCTATTCAGCCTGGAAGTGTTTCTTTTATGTTCTCATGGTTAGGTGCCCAGAGGCAATTCTTGTAATCTCTGAATGCTTGTACCGTTTTATGAATCTGTGTTATTCAGGTGTAAAGAATGCAGATGAAGCTGAGTTGAGACAAGTGGCGTCGGAGCCAGTGGATCTGAACGTCTACAATGTCAATGACTTTCCTCTGCTCAGCAGACTGGTAGCACGACTGGTTCACATCCTTTGTGGAAGGATAGAGGACCGTGGCATCTCAAAACGTAACCTATGTGTCTGTCTGTCTGTCTGCCTATTTGTCTCTATTCTTACCAACTCATCAGACACATGTACTTGAATGCACACGTTCATTTTTTCTATAGCAAGTTTTTCAAATTATGAATATTTTGTTGAGGTCTAATGTGCTGATTCCTTGTTGCTCCAGGAATGGAACCTGGGCCAACAGCAGACCCAGCCCTCTCCTACCCAAGTCCTACTGATCTTCGGTTTTCTGAACTGGGCTCCAGAGAAGTGAAGCTTCACTGGACCAATCCTGCCAAGCCAGTCCAACAATACAGAGTGGTCTACCACAGCGCCGAGGGTCAGAGTCCACAGGAGGTCAGAAACGCATGCTTACCTGATATGTATTATTACCACGTTTGACGCTGTGCATATCTCAGTTATATAACTAAAATAAGACCTTCACCATGAGAAATATCCAACTCCAGCAGTGTTTTTGTACGTGGTACTCTAAGTGCTTGATTAAAACAGGAAAAACTTTTTTTCAGCACAGACAGCACTAAAACTTTCAGATGGAGGACAAAGGGAGTTAAGCATGTAGAACATGTTTAGCATCGTGTGTAACCTCTTCAGTAAAGCATCCCCTTTATCTCTGAATTCCTCTAATGCAAGGTTTTTCTACCTTGGGGTCAGAACCCATATTGATATGCAGACTGTGCCTTGGGATATTTCTGAGACACAATAATATAATACGTTTAAATTATGTTGTAACAGCAGTTTACATTAATCAGGGATTGTATTTTATGCAAAGACTTGTAGCAATTTCAGTGTTATTATTGAAAAATCCCATCTGGAAAATTGGAAAATAGTGTTTTCATATAAAAAGTAATACAGAGTGCTGCATTCTTTTGTCTAACTGTAAGTTATGCTTTGTCTCTAGGTGGTATTGGTTGGCTCAGAGTCCACTGTGCAGCTGGAAGGCCTCTCCTCTCAGACACTGTATCACGTCTCCATCTTCCCTGTGTATGAAGACAGTGTTGGTGTGGCACTCAGAGGAACTGTCACTACCTGTAAGACTGCTATACAGGGATTCATATGTTTGTATGTCAGTCACACCTGGCTGTCACACGTTTTTGCTGTATCAATGTATCACATGCAGGTATCTCAGTTGATACTTGAAATGATGTATCTCAACACTGTTTTCCCATCTAGATTATATGCTTAATCTAAAAGATAAGTCTGATGATTTTCCATTTTTTATTGTCAATAAATCCCATAAAAAGACCAAAACCAACAATTAATTGACCCCCAAGTTTTGTGTTCCCCGGCTGGGGAAGTTGGAGTGAGAGATGTACGGACACGTTGTTGCTTTTGGTCTCTTCATGACATTTGTTGACAATAGCAAAAATATAGAATATAGCCAGCCTCTTCCTTAATCCTGTTTATCTAGCACAAATTCCTTGCTAGTTACAGTTTCACAGAAGCAGAGTAAGAGTAAGTTGCAAATTTTTGCTTCTTTACACAGTACCCAAATGACGGCCATTTATTAACAGTATTTAACAGTTAAGACGTGATCAAAATTTTATTTATTTATTTTTTATTTTTTAAACTCACCTGCCAAGAAAAATATGTTTTCCAAATATAGGTAGTCAGGGGAGGTCAGCAAAGGGAAAGTAGCTCTTTATTAGAAAGTGTTTCTGTCTCAGTAGGGCACAGATTCAATCCTTGTAGTCATCAGTAATTCACAGAATGTGTTCAACATGCCATGCCTTTGTTTTCTCCTCTTATTCTTTCCTATGTGTCCCTCATTCAGTGCCGCTGGCCATGCCTGCCAACTTAGAGGTGACTCCTTCCTCTTACAGCACGCTGCGAGTGAGTTGGAGTGCAGCACCCAGTGCAACACAGTACATGATCCTGTACTCAGCACTCAACCACGGAGAACCTGATGATGCCAAGGAGGTGAGAACTGGATCTCTCTTTCTCTACTATGAGCTGGTTTATACATGTATTACTCAAATGTGATTTATAATTATAATTACAAGCCAGCAATAACCAGGGTGAACAGTGGACAGAAAATGGCATCGACAACAGATAAGCAGGTATGTGAAAACATAACATTCAAGGCAAGGAAGAGCAAGAATGTTGCAGCAGCTCTTGCCCTGTTAACATATGATTTCAGGTTTTCAGGACAAAGTCTAAATGTTAACTGTAATGTTAACATTTTTCTGCCTTTCACTGTTACATAAAACACTTCAATACACAAATGGGTTTGTATTCTGTCATCCAGTAGCACTATTACCGCGGATGCAAGTCGTAGTGACTCACTGACAGCAGCTTGGGGTAGTTGGAGTGATGATTGGCAATAAACAATTCTGATTGTGATTCTGATGACGTTAGGCAGTGGACCTACTGATGAAATTGTCTCACATGTATGGCGATCTTAGCGTTTTTCAAATTGTACATATTAGTTAGACATTTGTTATGACAATAGCCAGAAATAGAGAATGCGGAAAACAAGAAAAACTGACCACTTCACCATCCAACACATTTCATGTGATGTGTAATACTACTGTACTAATCAATCAAGAGTTGTTTAATCTTCGCAGATTAGTTATATTTGTAAATACTTAATAAATATGAATTCATGTTTTTTATACTGTAGATATTCATTACATTATTCACCTGGCATGCAAACATCTTGGTCCACTACATGCACAGGGAATCTATGTAAAGTGTTTGTGTTTAAAGAGGCTTGTTTTTCCAAAGATCGAGTTTGCCACTACTGTTGGAGCAGCTGATAACTGCGCAGGTTCCTTCTGCTTTCCTAGACAATATAAAATAACTTTACATAAAAAGTAAAGGGAAAAGTGGATAATTGTACTTCCCAGCACAGCTTGCATTCAAACGTATGCACATCGTAGTGAGATGCCGCTGCAGTAATGGCAACTTGTTTACTTCCAGTACTTCTCCAGATTTGTGTATAAACAGGTAAACATTTTTGTTTTAAAAAATAAAATAGCAAATGATATATTGTGATAGTGTAGAGTATTGCTTCACATCACGTCTTCACGTCCTCCTGTCTTAGTTCCTAGAAGAAGTGTACTTCATCTTGAGATTTATTAACAAATCTCAAACTCCACGTTTGCATTGTGTTTCTTTTACTGCTGCAGGAGAAATTCAGTGCAGACCAGACAGTAGTGGAGCTGGCAGGGTTACTGCCTGCAACAGACTACTCTGTCACTCTTTACGCCCTCTATGATGAGGATCCTAGCGACCCTGTCACTGCTGTTGCCACTACATGTAAGACATGCCCCAAACATTCTCATCCATTGTTTTTACCTTCCTTTCCCCTCCTCCATGTTCCTTCTATCCCCTTCTTCTTTAATCTAACTCCACCTTTTTCCTTCTCATTCTCTTTTTCTGTGATAGATAGATCAGATATCCAGGAGGTTGTTCCTTCTATTAATTTCTTATATATTTTCCTTACTTGCTGTTCCCTCTCACTTCTCTGTTATCAACATCTCTAGCACAGTAACTTCTCAGTGACACTGATAAAATAATAACAATAATCACAATCACACAGTCCCTCTCCCACCGCCGGTGAGTGTTCAGTTCCCGATGGTCACCCACAGTATGCTGAGGGTGAGCTGGGTGCCCGGCGCCATGGACGTCCCCGGCCACCGAATCACCTACAGCACCAACCACGGCAGTGACGTCAAGCAGGTGCCTTCACTTCCCAAACACACAAGTGTCCTAATAGAAACTTTGTAATTTCACATACTTACATATTTCATTCCAGTCTTGCATTTGTAGTAAACAAATGGCACTTCAAAGTCTTGAACCTAGGTCCATGTTTTAAAAAATTTGTACTGTGGAATACAAGTATTTTTATTTTGCTCATGTAATCACGCTCATGTTTTTTTTTTTACATTTGAAGAGCCAGATGTAATTGCAGCCACAGCCAGTGTCAGTAATTCATACTAAATCTCTTTCCAGGTGGAGGTCACAGGACTGAACTCAGTGCTGGTGCAGAACCTCTCCTCTCTGTCTAGATATCTAGTCTCAGTCCAGTCTCACTACCCGCAAGGCCTGTCTGCAGCACTCACCAGTAACATCACCACAAGTAAGACACACACACACACAACTTTATGTGCTTGAAGGGATCAGGCAAGAAACAAGCAAGAAAAAATATCCTTACACATTTTCCTTCTCTCCTAGTGAAGGTGCCTTCCCCATCAGACTTCAGAGTGACAAATTTTTCAGGCAGCGATATCACTGTGCGCTGGGAGGCTGCAGCTGACGATGTTGTTTCCTACCTCATCAAGTGGATCTCTCTCAGTGGAGGAGACCTGAGACAGGTGAGGGTGGAAGGGCTGGAGTGCATAAGGTGTCACAATAATGAATATATGGTGTGAATAGAATGTTGCTGTTTGTTTATTTTAGCTGAGGGTGAGTGGTGAGAGCGAAGGGGCAATCCTGGAGGGTGTGGAGGACGATAAGGAATACCAGATCTCTCTGTCTGCACTTTATGGAGATGGAGCTCAGAGTGAAGCTGTGGCCACACGCTATAGCACCTGTGAGTCACACACACACCTACACATTTACACACCACACAGTAATAAATAAAATACTATCAACAGTACTGGAGGGTCATGTCTGTCACTAAAATATAAATAAACAACAAGAGTGACACCTACAGAAACCTTTAAGAGTAAATCTCAGAAAAAAACAGTACTGAATACAGTGTCACACAATAACCCCCCCAGTCCTCTTTGAGTTTTGCTTCTTTACACAGTACCCAAATGACGGCCATTTATTGTTATTTTTTACATTTTAGAGTGAACAGTTAACACGTTTAA